ACTAAGTTCTTCAATTGCAAGATGGAGATTCTAGGGTGCCTGAGAAGTCAATTTCATATGAGATTCCCATCAGCAAAACCAAGGGTTTAAGTTTCTCCATATTCTCACTAATATTTTTCATTGTCATCTTTCTCCTCCTCCTCCTCCTCCTCCTCCTCCTTCTCCTTTTCCTTCTCCTCCTTCTCCTCCTCCATATTAGCCATGCTAGTGGGCTTGAAGTGGCAGTATCCCATTGTGGTTTTACTTGTGTTTCCCTAAGGAGCAGTGATGCTGAGCATCTTGTCATATGCTCGTTAGCCACTTGTATATTTACTCTGGTAGAATCCTTTGCCATTTTTGAATCGGGTTATTTTTTCACTGTTGAACTGTTTGGAAATTCTTTACATATCCTGGATGTTAATCCTTTACCAAATATGTTATTTGTAAATATTTTTTCCCACTCTATAGATTTTCTTTTTACACTCTTGCTAAATTGTCTTTTATGCAAATGTTAGCAAATGCTTTACATTTTGATTTTGAATAATTTATCTATATTTTTATTATTGCCTGTGCTTTTGGTGTCAAACTTAGACTACTGCCAAACCCAAGGTGATGAAGATTTTCCTCTATTTTCTTCTAAGAGTGAATTTTATCTAAGTGAAATGTACCCTTAAAATTATTAATAGTAAATTTTATGTTTGGCATATTTTGTCACGATAAAAATATTTATCTTCCCACAGATACCCAATAAACAAAGGGTTTGATGGGCAGTAGATTTTATTTATTTATTTATTTCCTTTATTAAATTATTTATTTATTCTAATTTGTTATACATGATGGCAGAATGAAATTCATTTGGGCAGTAGATTTTAAATTAAAAAAAGAAGATTATTCTGCAAACTAGAGCTCATTCATGAAACTTCAGGCTGAAGAACTTATGACTGACAAGTTTGACTTAGTGGATTGCTCAGACTCCTTTAAGGTATGGTATCAACGTAGGCCTAACTGCACTTTGCTCCTTGTGGCTCCACTGCCTGCCTAGTTCTGTCTTGTGAATCCCCAGGACAAATCCAATCCTTTTTCTAAGTGGTAGCTCTCCAAGTGGTTGGTGGCAGCTGCCATGATCACAGAAGTCATGCTGTTTGATCACATGCTTCCCTGTGTAGAATGGGACATGCATTTTGAGGAAGGGGAGTTTCCCAGCAAAGAGACAAAGAAAGCAGGGCTTGGGGCTGGGAAGACAGGTGATACAACCAAGCAACAAATGGAGCTGGGATTTGAACCCTTTGGAGGTGTTCCTAGAGCAAAGGCTGTATTTTAGATGCCAGGCAATGCTGCCTCTTGGCCAGGTCCCAGGTTCCCCCTTAGCCTTCTTCTCCACAATCCCTTGGACTTTTCTTATATGGTTTCCTTCTACATCCCTCTCCAGTCTATTCCCTCATTTGCAGTGACTATCAGGCCAGGCCCCACTAAGGCAGAGCCAAGCCCTTTTTTTTTATTACACATATACCCACTTTTCATGGATGCCCTATTGGACTCAGCATTCTACAAGGTCCAGTGGCCCCACAGAGGGGGAGGATCATTAGAGGAAATCCATTCCAAGGCCCTAGCAGACTCCTTTTCCCTACCCCCATCATTTGCTAAAAGCAGGGGCTGGCCCCACCTGTCTCTCTTGTAGTATCCTCCCAGGAGTTCCCGCAGAGGAAGATATTGCAATCTCAGGATTAACAGCCTGTTTGTTTAAAAGGCTTATTACTGGTTCTTAATGCTATTTTGACAGATGAAAGTGAGTCAATTAGAGCTGGAAATAGCTCTGGCTGCTTAGGTTTCTTCCAGGTGGCTGCCCATTCCCCATCCATGGAACTTTTTCTCTCTTCACCAAAGAGAGGTTCTTTTGCTTCTGTTATCCCTTTGACCCCCTCAAACCACTCAAGAGTTTCCTTCTTCTGCAAAGAAATGCTGTTGAAATCATGGATGAGGGTTGCTGTGACAGTCCCTCTATGTGACAGGGACAAAGTGAAAAAATGCTGATGGGAGCCCTGACAGGTCAACCTCCAGGATAAGGAATATGAATGGCTTCAGTGAGCCCTGTGTTTTTATAGGTATCACTCTGGTTCCATCAGCCACAAATGCAGTTGCCCTGTATTGAATATCTCTTTAGGGTCTTTGGAACAATGGGTTCCCTGTGTCAACTCCCACCAAAATGCGTCCAATGTTGGTCACAGGCTTGGGTACCTCAGAGTCAGTCATCTTTATGAGGGCAAGAGTCTTTTGTGGGTGGCTCACAGGGTTTCCCAGAGTTATGCTAAGGCCCCAGTGAAGGGCATTCCAATGCCTCCTGGTTGGTAAGGAGTCTGTACAATAGACTTTGCCATGTCCCTGGAGCAAAGGTGTGCTCTCCCATGTGGTTTGTTGGACAATTGGGTACAGGATAAGTGGTCAGAGTATTTGTAAGAGGCACCTCAAATTTATGCCCAAGAAAGAACTCTTCCTTAATGCTCCCAAACATACATTGACTTCTCTGGGTTCTCTTATGGAATATAATGTCACTATCCAACTGTTTGCTCACACTCAAATCCTAAATCATCCTGGATTCTTCTCTTTAGTTCATGCATAAAGGTCCTTAAATAGAAGGCATCAGCAGATCCTGTTTTCCGTCCCTCCACATTACAGAGCAAATTGGACCAAACTGATATACAGCCCATGCTACCATTCTCGTCTAAGGCATACTTATTTTCTGTCTGAGCTATCACAACAGCTCTCCAACACCTATTCCAGTTTTCATTGTTGCAAGAAAGATCTTCTAAAGACATAAGTCAGATCTCCTCTACAACTTCCATGGCTGCTCCTAAACATTTAGAGTCAAGACCAAACTCCTTACTTGGCCCACAATGCTAAATGTCTTCTAGTCTGTCTCTCTTGCCAATATCATTTCCTATCTTTTTCTCCTTGCTCACTCTGCTTCAACCACGTGTATTTTTGCTGATCCTTGAATATGTATTCCCTGGGTCCTTTGCACTTGAGAATCTTTCTTCTATCTGGAATGTTCTTTCCCAGAACTGTATGTGGCTACTGTCATCTCATTCCTCAAATCTTAGCACAAACCAACTTTATTCCAGAGAAAACCTTTCTGATAGCACTCTCTATAAGTATCCTATTTATTTGCTTACCTATCATTTATCTTTCTCCATCAAAAATTTTGGGTGCTAATGAGATTAAGAATTTTATTTTTCACTATTGAATTACCCTATCTAGACTAGGATATTGCACATAACAATCACTCAACAAATGGTGCTTATATTTTAAAATATGCTCATGAATTGTTTGGTACTCTCCTATTGAGAGGTGGAGTCTGTGCCCATTCCACTTGACTCCGGACCTCCTTAGTGACTGGTTGTCTAGTAGAGTATGATAGAAGTAACACTATGTGGTCTTACAAGGACAATCAGTATCTGCCTTGGTCTCTGGACCATTTGTACTAAAGCCTGGGTCTCCATATAAGTAGTCCTACTGCTCTGAGGCCGCCATGCTGTGAGGAAGCTCAATCTAGCCCATGTAAAAAGGCCACATTGAGAATCCCTAAGATTATATAAAGAGAGAGATGCAATCAATCCCAGCTGTTCCAGTTCCCACTGTTCTACTGCCATCCACTATCTGACTGTTAACTGTAGAGACCTTGACAAGAACCATCAGCTAAGCAAGCCATTCCTGAATTTCTGATAATAGAAATTGTGAAAAAAACCAAAAATAATGTCATTTTTCAAGTCATTAAGTTTTGAGGTGATTTATTTCACTGTAATAGAAGACTAGAACAGAGAGAATGGATTCTTAACATCCAACTATTCTCTGGTGGCTGCTATAATGTGTACTATTCCTAACCAATTTACTGGTCCAAGTGCCTAGGCAGTCTATGCCAGGTCTCATGGATGAGAGAAAAGAAACGGGAAGTTGAGAATTACTACTTGTTAGGCTGAACTTTGAAGAGTCTCATCTGTGTGACCATTAAACTATTCCCTTAACAGGAATAGTTTAGAACCTTCCCAACATTCTCTGGCTTCCTTAATTCTTCAAGTCCTTTTCTAGAATTAGACACCTAGTCCTAACCCAGAGAACCCCTACTTGATTATTATTATTTTTAATTTTTTTAGTCATAGCTGGACATAATACCTTTATTTTTAATTTATTTTTATGTGGCGCTGAGGATTGAACCCAGTGCCTCGCAGGTGCTAGGCGAGCCCTCTACCACTGAGCCACAAACCCAGGCCCACTACTTGGTTATTTATATCAATCCTGATCAAAACTCTTATACCTCTTCCTATTTCTTTCTGATTTCCTAGGTGAAGTTTGTCTCCTGTTTCAGAGAGAGGAGCTGGTGGACCAAATTATATCCCATCAGACCCTCTTTTGATCTTTTAGCTTAATAAGCAGGAAATGTTCTGCACAGTCAGAGAATATTACACAGGGAAGTAGAGGTGATGACCATGGACAATGATAATGGAGACAGCACCGTTTCTTCGCTCATGGTACTAAGCGTTTCCCAAGTATTTTCTCATTTAATCTCCACATCCCTCCAATGTAACCATCCCATCCCTATTTTACTAATGAAGAAACTAGAGACATTTAGGTGACATATTTGAAGCCAATTCCTTTTGATCCTGATTTACAGAGAAATCACCTACCTGGGATACATTTGATACACAAATGGCAAATATTTGATACACTAGCCACTTTCTCCCTTCCCAGGTTCCTGGCATCTGTTCCCACAGAACCTCTAGATCATTCTTACCATAGCTCTCCAAGTAGGTACGACCAATTGGTCAAAACTGACATGCCGGATAAGACCCTTTTGCTACCTCCCCAATTTCTCAAGGAATAGGGACCCAGAAAGATCAAGTGACTTTCTGAGGTCATCCAGCTAATGGGTGGTAGCGCTGGGATGGAAATGCACCTGAAAAAGGAATATCGCCTACAAGGTATGTCCCATATTTAGTGACAGCCCCCTGCACAGGGAGGTCGCTCACCCGCGGACAGCGTGCAGCAGGCGCAGCGAGGGGTACGCAGTACGCACGTTGACGTGGTGCTTCAGGATGAGCTCGTTGACCCACTCCACACGCTCCTTGCCACCCCTGGCCATGAAGGCAGGGATCCACAGGATGCTGCCATTGAGGCTGTGCAGTCGCTGCAGCAGCTTCTCCCGCCACGTGGCATTGACCAAATCCTCGAAGGCCCGCTGGATGACCGAGGGGTTCATGGTAACCAGGTCGGTCTTGAGTCCTACATCCCGGGCATACTCCTGCACGGGAGCCAGGTTGCACCTGAGGAGGAAAAAGGCAATAGGGTCCTTTTAGAAAAGCTGAACCCTATTCTTATATGTAACCTTTTTAATTGTTTCCCTCTCCTTGCTTCAAACTCATCACCAAAATAAACCCAGGGCATCGCCCTGAATGACGGACTTCTTTTGTTATCCTTACTCCTCCTCCACCCACAAATGTTTATTAAGCCTCTACCACATAGTTAGTAATTTACTAGGCCCTGGGGACACAAAGTACCTCCATTCTGGAGTTCAGGATCTAGGAGAGGAAGAAAGGGGCAAGAGAGGCAGCCCTCAGCTGCAAGATGAAGATGCTGTTGGCAGGCTGACTTGCTTGCAGGTGGCAGAGGGTGGGCTCTGAAGACAGACTCCCAGGTTTAAGACTCAGCTCTGACGTTCTCTACCTGTGATTCTGGGCAATGTACGCATCTCTCTGTGCTTCCCGAGGGCTATGCAGGAAATCACAACAGCAGCACCACAGGGATTACTTCAGTTACACATACCCAGTGCCTAGACCATAGCTGGGCCACACTAAGAGGCCCATGACTTCATCATTCTTACAGGGAGGAGAAGAAGTAGTAGGGGCTGATGACTGAGGGAATCTAGAAGGAGGAGCAGAAATCCAGTGGTAGACATGGCACAGGAAGAGAGTCTTTCTCCAATTTGCTAAAACAGAAGAATCACCTTGGGTACTGGTTAAAAGTACAGATTCCTCAGGTCCCTTAGTTGGAGAGCCATTCAGCTGGTTCCAGAGCTTAAGAATTCTCTCTCTCTCTCTCTCTCTCTCTCTCTCTCTCTCTCACACACACACACACACACACACACACACACACTTTTTGCAGAGGGTGTGAAACAGCCTGAGTGTTCAGAGGAAGGCAAATGATTTGGTCTAACTGGGGCAAGTCATGTGAAGGAGATGGGGCTAGAGAGACATGCTAGACATGTGAGATATCCAAAGGCCTGTGTCAAAGACTTAGTTCAGAAGAAAACAGAGACTACTAAAGGTTCTCGAACAGGAGAGTGATATGGGCACATTTGTATTAGGCAACAAACAAAAAAACAAAGTTGTAGGATTCACTGGAGGGAAGGAGTTGGGTATCAGAGGATGAAATGAGAGGTCACTGAAATTGCTCATGAATCGATCAGGCTGCCAGGATGGACAGCCTCTTATTTAACTAGGGATTATCTTGAGGGCCTCTCCCATCCTCAAGGGTTCTGGTTTATATGAGCACACTTGGGCTTCTTGCCTGTACCAAGGACCTTTGGAAGGCAGCAGGGGGCGCTGCTGGGGAGGCTTCCATGCTGCCTGGGACTTGATGGTAGAAATAAACTTGAGAAATTAGAATAAGTATGTATAGAACAGAGGTTGTGAAGATGTGAAGCCTGGGGGCTATATGCCACCGCCAGATGATGAAATCCAGAAAGACACCATTTACTCCTGGCTTTAAGCAAGGACTTTTCTTCTGCAACTGGGTAGAAAAAGTAGAACAATTAGAAAGAAAATGAACATTATGGAGCCCCTGGTGTGTGCCAGCCACTTGGCTAGTCATCAGCAGAGATCAGTTCATTGTATTGTGACTCATTTTTAGTCACCCTCTTTTTACAGATGAGCAAACTGAGGCACAGAGTGTTCCAATTAAGTTGCCCAAAGTCCCAGGGTTAGTAAGGGAACCACCAGGATTCGAACTCAGTTGTATCCGATTCCAAAGCCTATATAACTATTTCCAACTGAGCCCCACCCCCTTCATTCCTGCCCTCAGACCTTGCTATCTCTGATTGTAGCTAAATATTGCAAGGAAATAGAATTGCTGGAGGACATCTTCAGGAGCCCCTGCCACAGGCTGCAGAGCTTGGGGTGTTATTGCCAGCACATTATCCAGTCTGGGGCCACCTTGGTCTTAGTTACCTATTGCCCTTAAGCTGTGCTGAGCCAGGATTCCCAAACCTTTCCTGATGGCTAGGGCCTCCTCCAGACCAATCTCCAGTTCGTAAGAGCAGGGCCAGGTGGACTCAGTGAGGTTGAGACTTACTGAAGTCAACTGCAGGCCAGGAGGAGCTGCGGGGAGGCAAAGAAGGAAGCAGACAGCAGTGTAGGATGCCATCCTCTGGAAGGTGCTATGAAACCCCGAGGCACACGGGCTCCTGCTCACAGTGGAGGCTGGGAGGTTCAGGCTATTCCAGTGACCAAGTCTCAGTGAGGATGCCTGGGGGCTTGGGGGCAGGGGACAGCTGTGCCCTAAATGGATGCTTTAGGTGTACTTCTTCCCCACCAGGTGTAAACTGCTTCATTTATGGAGAAAGGACAGAGTCAGGAAAGGCTTACACCTGGTTTAGGCTCTCTTCTGTCCAAAAAATTCTGGGTGGGCTGTGAGAGGGCTTGATTCTGGGCAGAAAAGGAGTAAACCTTTTCCAGAAACAACCATATTCTTAGGTCTACACTGAGCCATCTGCAGAGTGGGGGAGGCAGGTGTATGGGCTCTGAAGCCAGACTGCCTGGTCCATGCCCTGGCCCTGGCCCTCACTAGCTATGTGCCTCTGGGCTTTCTGTGCCTCAGTTTCTTCTCTACAAATTGGGGATAAAATAAAATATGCCTGTTCTGCAAGAACTAAATAAGTTAATACTGGTGAGTGTGTAGAACAGCACATGGTACATGCTAAGTGCTCAGTGAGTGTTCAGGGGTGATCTGAAAGGTTATTTATCTGTGAAAGGTCATTTGCTGGTAGGATTCTCCCTGTGGAGGGGCTGTGCTTGTGTGTGCACATGTGAGCACACAATGAACTCTTGATCCCTAAACTTCCAGGAACCCCCCCCGCACATGGCCCTGAGTCAGCCATGGCCTCCTCACCCTGGCACTGCAGGCTCCTGTCATTCTCCTAGGACCAGCCCTCCTGCCCAGCCCGTCTCAGCAGCACCTCGTGCAGCCTGTGCTTGCTCAAGCCATTGCCTCTCTGATCCCTGAACCTGTCTTTCTGCCTCTGTGATTTTCCTCATGCTCTTCCTTTCTCCTCCCCACTTTCGTTGGTCCAAGTCAGCCACACTCAAATGCCACGTCTTCCAGAAGCCCAAGAGGTGCCATGTTTTGCAAGCTCATTGTGTTTATGTGCTCTGTGTCTCACCAGAACCCCCGGCTCATGTTTCCCATTCAGTTTTCTTAGAGGGAGTAAGGTCCTATGTGTCTCTGAGACTCTCACACAAAGGAGGGACCCAGGGTAGACTGATTTAATTGAAGACTCAGATTAACACGGACAGAGACATCTCCATCAGGACTGTCATGGTGCCTGTCACCTTGGCAGAACCACGGGGAGCTTACTGGAATAGCGGTCTCATCCATGTCAACCACATGCAGGCCCTCCTCTGTGCTGCACACAGCTTTGGCCTGGAGGTAAAGATGGACATAGCCAGCTGGGTGCAGTGGTGCACACCTTCAATCCCAAGAGGATCACGAGTTCAAAACCAGCCTCAGCAAAAGTGAGGCACTAAGCAACTCAGTAAAACCCTGTCTCTAAATAAAATGCAAAATAGGACTGGGGATGTGGCTCAGTGGCTGAGTACCCCTGAATTCAATCCCCAGTACCCCTTCAAAAAATAAGATGGCATAGCCACTCTGCTTTGGAGGAGCTCACAGTCTAGGTGCATGCGTGTGGTGGAGACATAGGGTGGACAAAGAATTAACAGTAAATGTGCCTCACCCTGTGGGACATGTTATCTGAGGAATTTCCAGATGTCATTCCTTTAATGCTTACAACCTCATACTCTCTTGACTGTGTGTGTGTGGCAATAGAGCATGCTATGGCCCTAAGTGCAGGCTGCATACCAGCAGCAGTGACATCCGCTGGGAAGCTTGTTAAAAATGCAGAGCCTTAGTCCCCGCCTCAGACCTGATGATTCAGACTTTTAATAAGCCAGGTGATGCCCACATGTTCCCATTTGAAAAGTACTGGGCTACAGCCTGGACAGGATTCATAATGGAAGAACTCAAAACAAGCCCAGGTGACCCATTTTACAGACAGTTAAACTGAAGCCCCAAAAGACAATTCAAGTGCTGTGCTCTGAGCCATGTGACAAATGGGCATCAGAGCCAGAAACCACACTATTTACCAGATGTGCCAAAGAGGATGCTGTGAGCCAAAATCAGCCATTGCCTCCTGAAATTCCTGAGGCAGGGTTTGGTGGAACACAGAAAGCTTGCTGTTGAAAGTCATTTTCGTGGCAAAGAAAAGAGGCATGGCCTATATGTGTTCCATGAGACCAGCAAGGCCTCCTTCCAGCCTGCTCGGCACCTGGGAAGGAATCTGGCCTTACCAATAACACCCACCACACCTTTGCTCCTCTGGCCTTCAGTCAGAAAGATCCACCATGCTTCCTTCCTCTCCCCCCAACCAGTCTTTAGCCTAAAGGACTTTGAAAACTAAGGGCTAAGCCTTTGGTTATACCAGAGGCAAAGAGACCTGCCAAAGATGAACAAAATGGAAGCCACTTTGGCTACCAGACTGTGATAGCTCTCCAGTCCTAGGGGATACTAAGGTAATTAGACCTGTTCCTTCCCATGTCCTTAGGTTCAAGGAATTCTATGATCAGATCATTTCCCAAAGTCCAGGAACAAGACTCTCTTTGCATCAGGACAGTCCCAACAGAAACATGAGACACAGTGTGAGGTTCTTCCTGGGCCAGGAGCTATTTGGAATGAAATCTGAGGCTCCAAGTGTCCTACTTTTGACCAGGGGACAGCAAAGCCTTGTTTTCAAGTCTGAATGGGCTGGGGCCAGGTGTTCTTGGCCATGGGTCCAAACTGAGTCCAAACATCCCCAGAGACTGAAAAATGAGAACTGATATTTTAGAGAAAATGATGGTCAAGTACAAAATCCAAGTTTCTCTGTCACTCCCTCACTTCAGACTTTGACTACAGCATGATGAAGTTACTAGCAGAGTGCCACCCTCCAGGATGCTATAAAGAGCTTTGCCAATTTGGGACCAACAATCCAAGTCAGCCAGGAGATTTTCTTACTAACCTTTTGTGCCAGGCTCTGTTTAGAGGTTAACAAACTTTTTCTGAAAAGGTGTTAGATAATAAATATTTTCAGCTTTGCAGGGTATACACTCTCTGTGTTGCTTTAGCAACAACGCTTCAGCTCTGCCCAACTACTGAACTCTGCATCATGAAAAGAAAGCAGCCATTGACAATGTGAAAATGAGTCAGAGTGGCTGTGTTCCAATAAAACTTTATTTATAAAAATGGGGGTGGGGACGGCTGGATGTGGTGGTAAATGATTATCATCCCAGCAACTTGGGAGGCTGAGGCAGGAGGATCACAAGTTCAAAGCCAGCCTCAGCAATATAGCAAGGCCCTAAATCACTCAGTGAGACCTTATCTCTAAATAAAATACAAAAAAGGCTGGGGATGTGGCTCAGTGGTTTTGCATCCCTGGATTCAATCCCCAGTACCCCACCCCCCAAAAAATATTTTTAAAAAACAACAGGCAGTTTGCTTCCCACTGCTCTGGGTTAGTGATTCTCAGCCTTGGCTGTGCACCAGAATCCCTGGAGCTCCCTTGGCCATACCTGCCCTGACTCCCTTATCCCCCAGATGATTTAATTGGTTGGAGGTAAAGTCTGGACACTGGAGACAAAGATCCTCAAGTAGCTCCCATGTGCATTCAAGGTTGAGAATAGGGACTAAGCCCACCAATGTGTCTTGTTTAATCTTTTGGGACAACTGCAATGCTCAGCATCAGTATACCTGCTGCTCTGGGCACCAGTGCAGGTGGTTACCTGATGACGAAGCTGTGCATGTCAATCTCCTGCCCACAACCACTGTTCAGCAAGACCCCCGAGTTGCCCACAATGGCACAGGTCCGGAAGTGCTTGTTCTTCAGGGGCGAGGTTCTGGGGAGCAGCTCATACAGGTTCTGGGACACGTTCATTGTACTGTCACGGTCAAAGATGTAATGAATAATGTCTCCAGGCTTCAGGGTCCCCTTGAGGACGGAAATATCCTTCTCAGCATCCAAGAACTTTAAAATTTGCTTCCTATGGAAACCAAACATGCATGAGGAAAGTCTCTATGTTGCCAGACCCACTTTGCCAAACCAGATTTTCCTGTCCTATGTCACTGTGTGGGGCTGCTGCACCCCAGCAAGAAGGTAGAGAATAACAAGAGTTCAGATACCCTCTAGGATGGGTTCCAGGACAGACAGAAGGCCCCAGGATAGAAGGAGGTCCACCATCCAGGCTTACGTATGGCACTGAATGTTCCTTGTCCCAGAAATGTTTTAGTTTGGGGTAAACTCAGACATTTGACCCCCCTGCATCACACTCCTCTCAGAAGGATTCAGTGCCACCATGTGAGAGGGAGTCCTGAACTAGGGACATTAAGCCAGGACGACACAGGCCTTCAATCCTCATTGGCTTATTTTCTTTCATGGAAGCCTTCCTGGGCAGAGAGGCCAAGTAGGGGTGAATGGGAACTTGGTACTGGGAGGGGTACCACCCCTTCCTCTCTGAGACACTGAGAAGGTGGCCTGCCACTTTGCTGGCTCGTCCATTGTATAGGGTGTGTCTCTGGATCCCCCCACCTGGAACAGGATTTGTGAATCTCACCATCTCCCTGGTCCACAAAGGAGAAAGGCTCCTTTGTGGTGTTTCAGAACAAAGGTGATCAAAGGGCAGCTGTCTAGTCCTGGGTACCTTTGACTTAGAAGGCAAGTTCTAGAATCATCTAGAAAAGCCCAAGAGAAGGGATGGGCTTGGATTAGGGAAAGAAAGGGTGCCCTCATGGAATCCCCAGGGGAGTTTTACTTAAAACACACAGCCTTCTTCCAGGAACCTGAGCATCCCAGGCAGCTGCCTAAATTACCTAATGAATCTTCAGAGATAATTCAAGCCATAAAGAGAAAGGAATTGGCTACTCAATAAATAAAATAAATTTCATCTCCTGTGGTGAGCCCCTATCTAGACAGACCCAGGGATGCTGGCCTCCCTTCCCACAGAGCTTTGGAGGCACAGAATGCTCATGCTGTCTTCAAACGTGAGGATCTGCAGGATGGTTGCCCCATTGTACAAAGGGTGACGCTGAAGCCCAAGAGGCTGCTGGATTTGAGATGTGCACAGCCTGTGAATATCACAGGAGGCTGTACAATCAGTCACTTGAGAACTATGGAAACTTCAGAAGCTCCAGCTGACACCTAAGGCATCCTGATTCTGAGGGGGGCTGTGATTTGCCCAGGTTTAGGGGGGCTCTCATATGGCCAAGGAGTACCTAAAACCCTTGGCCGGGTATGACATTCTCCATTCACTTGTCTTTCCACATTTGTGGCCCTGATCTCTTGCTATTATACAGGGGAAATCACCCTTGCTGAATAATTTGTTCCTTTTGATGGAAAACAGGTGCTATTTTTTTAAAAAAAAACTAGGTTTACCAAGGATTACATAACTCGGCATATTCATATAGTTTGGAAATTACTAAAACCCTTGCAACTACTTACCCCAAAGTATTTAAAAGCAAAGAGAATCCCTAGAAAGCCCATAAATAAATACCTCTGTGAGGGAATTAATTTCTAACTAATTATGAGAAACGACTATCAATTATTAAGCATCATTGCAAATCACTTGCAGAATCTTTTATCATGAACAATTTTGGTGATTAACTGACTGAAATAGAGGGAGATTCCTTTTCCTTCTGGGTGAAAACACATTGTTCCTCTGAAGATAGCCGGGTGTTTCCAGGATCCCCATGGAGGCCACAGTCTGGTCTTGGAAAGCAAAGTGCGGGAGCGTGTGTGGGCAAGTGGGTGTGAGAGTGTGCACATGTGTTTCTCTGCCCAGTGGCAAAAGGAAGGGCCAGAGAGAACTGCAGCTGGGGTTGTGCTGCCAGGGGAATTTCACTAATAGGTACAGCGGTGCTGTACATGGTGACCATTAGAAATAAATGTTCACCTCCTGACCCCAGGAACATGTGAACGTGACCTACCTACATTTGGAAATATGATCTTTGCAGATGTAATTAAATTAAGGATCTGGAGATGAGATCACCCTAGATTACCCAGGTGGGCCCTAAACCCAATGACAGTATCCTATGTGAGACAGGAGATGAGACTAAGCAGACCCTGTAAGAATGACCTCAGAGACTGGCATCTGCACCCCTGTTCTGTGACAACCCTCCAGTTTGCCCACGGTGAGCTGGAGCCCCCAGAAGCTGGAAGAGGCAAGAGGAGGGAGGGGTCCCTCACCTATAGCTCTTGGTGGGAATGTTCAGGATTTTGGCCTCCAGACCATGAGAGACTAATTTCTGTAGTTTCCAACCATCAATTAATGGTAATTTGTTGTGGCTGTCAAAGGGAACTATGTGGTGGTCTTGCTGACTCCAGGTGCCCTGGTCACAGGGGGCAGACTGACAAGGCTGGAGGACCTCCCCACACAGCCTCTGAGGAGACACTGAAGGAGTGCTAGGCTGGCGGATGGTGGAGTCCAAGGACATCTCTTTCAGATGGATTCCCAGCTACCTGACCCATAGATCTCATTCCTCTCTATTACCGTACCCCTCATGTCCTCAAACAAACCTCAAGAGCTAGGGAGTGGGGCACTTCCTACCTGAAGGAGCAACTCCCTGATGTGTGGCAACATTGCGGGTGCATATTCTCCACTCCTTCCCCATGCTGATGGCCTGGATGGCCATCAGAGCTCTCCTTAGCTGGTCCTGGTTGTCCTTCACCTTCATCTCCATCTCTCTATTCCTCACTCCTTGTTGGTGCTCCTGCGGCACCCAACACACACATCAGACTTCAATCTCTGTGCATGTGGGATGTGGCTTGGCACATCTGGAAAACTCCAAGTTGTCCTTCAAAGCCCAGTGCTCTAGACCAGCCTTTCCCGGCAGTCTTCTAAGACCCCTTGCAAAATGAAAGCGGGCTCCTCATTCCACCTCCTTGTTTCCACCTGTTGCTAAGATGCAATACCACCGAATGAGTATGTCCTCCTCTTCTGCCCTGTCTTTGCTTCTTTTTGTGTTTCTCTGCCTAACACTTCTGATTCATGTCAGCACCTTGGGATGGCAACACAATGCTTGGAAACAAATAGATTATACCGGCTAATATTTGCTAGGTCAATCATGGCTACATCTAAACTAAGTGTCCAGAGATGTTGCAATTATAATTCTTCTCCACATTTCCTCAATCCTACTCTCTGGAGAAACAGACTTCTGTTTTCAGGATCAGGTGTCATGTCAGTTCCTGGGTCTCTCAGCTAAGGGTTTTTATTTTCATGTTGTGGGAGAGGGGCAGGCTTTCAAGCCACAAGAACTATGGGAGGGAACAGTTCACCATGGGCAAGAGGAGGACAAACAGGGGTGCAGATGACAGGCAGGCTGAAAGAGAAAGAGAGGCCACCTGTGGCCTCCATTTCCCAGGTGCTCTATGGCCCTAGCCTAAGCCAGGTATCTCAGCAGGGAGTTCCTGCCACCTCCTCTGCCCAATTTGCTATGTACACATGCCAGGTTGCTGGGCTCACTCTGGGTTTTATTTCCAATTGATCGTTTACAGATGAAGCTTGTCTCTGCAGGAGGTAAACATTTTATTTCTATTCTACTTCTTTAGATGATGGAGAGGGACAATTTGCAGGCTTGCACTGGAGAAGGCCAAGCCTGCCTCTTGTCCTATAGGTAATTACCAGTACCTGATCCTCAGAGAGAGCGTCTGGTTGTGTCTCCATTTGGACGAAGCTGGCTGGATGTTGTGTTTAATGCTTTCATTACTTCTGTCAACGACAGCTGGAGATGAGGAGCCATTTATTACAACTTCGGCTCTGGAAAGAGGGAAAAAAATAAGTAAAGACGAAGGTAGACATGATCTGTTAGCATGCCAATGACAAGTCTAATAGTTTTGTTTTTGCACGAGCTTGAATGTAAACTTCAGAAGAGCAAAATTGCAGTTATTACCTGAGAAGCGAAGGAAGTCTATTTATCTTCTAGAATGCACAAACTCTCTCCCTCGGGTATAACCTACATACATTCTTAGAGACAGGAAGGGGGGTGATAATACTATTTTTCTACCCCTCCACCCTCAATGTTTCCTCCCAGTGAAACCTGGCAGTCACACCAGAATAGTAATGTTTCCTATTTAAGCTATTGATAAGAAACTCCACAAGTAACAGTTCTATTAGCTGCAAAGCATCATACAATGGCTTGCAAACTCAATAAAGAGAAGACAAAAGCTTATGCCAGGACAAGGTCTCTGTAGACTGCAGCTTCTCTCTCCTCCCCCACATTCCCATCACTCTTTTGTTGACACAAGAAACATCTGCCGGTGACAGAGTTATTTATGCGGTGTCTCTCTGTCCTACTAGAATGCAAGCCGGGAATCTCTCGTACACATTCCTACATTCCCTCATGGTCTAACATAGCAGGTGCTCAATAAATAAGTGTTGAATTTGACTTTGAAATTGATCCTGGGGGAGCTTGGAGTGGATGAAGGAGCTGACTGGCTTTGTGTGCCTGGGATGGATCACAATTCTGGGTATAAACCATCTTTCCACCTGACTCAGTAACACCGGGCATTAGAGGACTCACTTGAATTCACAGACTTGAAATCTATGCCAGTAGGTTTCTAAGAAACTAGGCTACAATTATATCTTTAAAGGCAGCACGAAAGCCAGGCTGCCTTCTGCTGTATGCACGCAGATGCATTTGGGTCACATCCGAAGTTCCTTTTGTCTGGGCTGACAGCAGGTCCTCCCAGTTAGAATGATAAGTGGATTTGTGATGCTGAATCCTGGGACTTTAAAGAGTCTAAACCAAACATCTCTGTCCTTTCCAAGTTAAAAGAGATGAAATCCTGTTAGTGAGCTCTAAACCCAATGTTTCCTTTTCCTTTTTTTTGCAGGTAGAGGAGAAATCCATGTGGGGGTGTATATATTGTCTCTCTCATTCCTCCCACTCACCCACCTCCATTCCTCAATACTCCTGTCTCCTCTGGATGCTACTACTCATCTCAGATCCAAATATATGTAACTTTGCAGAGGACAGACAATAAAAGGCAGGTGGACTTCTATCATGCAGTCTTAAAGGATTCTATAAGAGGAAACCGAAAAGCTGACCCTTTAGAATTCTTACTGTTTTCATGAAAGAAAGCAGAGAGTAGAGTGGAAGGATTTCATAAGCTGTGTGAATATGGATAAATCGCTTTACCGCTCGGAGCCATAGTTTCCCTATTTATGGAAGGAGAGTGAAGAAGAGGAAACTATCCAGCCCTGAGGTTTTAGAGTTCTAAAAGGACCACCGGTATTCCCTGCATGTAAACACTGGCTGCTCTCTTATGAGGCTTCAGGAGGAACTGGTATGGCTGCATCCTTTTGATACTGCCTACTTCTGTGACCACAGGCAGGGGCAATGACCTTGGGATTATGGGTTCAGCAGTTATATCCCAATACCCTAAGCTTTACCACAATTTACAGTAGTATAAATGACAGAGATGCTGTAATGTTAGTGGTAAGGACTTGTTAGGACAAGCCTAAAGGGCTTGCTGATGCTCTCATAAGTGACCAGGGCCCAGCATCTCATGGCTTTAAGTGGATTCAGTCCTTGTGATGCTCCCCAGAAACTGGGGCATATTGCAGGGGCCCAGTGTTGCTCAGGAAAGAGGCACCTGCAGAGGTAAGCTATTGCAGAGGTTTGAAGAGGGGATCTGCTCAGAGACTTCCAGAAGGGCTTTTCAGACGTATTTGAGACACAAGGTGGTGAAAGCAGGAAAGGGGAAGAGATAAATGCTGCCCTGGAGAGCAGCCAAATCCCATTTCTGTCCCTACTTTCTACTGTAACCTTGGATGGGACCTTGCATTGCTGCAAAATCTTACTGGACTTACTGGACCCTGGCTCTGTCGCTACCTGGCTGTAGGATGTGGGAAAGTCACTTTGGGTTTCTGGCCTCTTCTTTGTTATATGTCTCACACATATCTCTCTTGTTATATGTCTCAGATATCCCCAGGGACTGCCTCTGTGAGGAGTTCTTGTGTGTTCTGTGTCATACAAACACAGCTGGACTGCAGAGCTGAAATATCCCACTTTAGTGAATGTGCCCTTCTGTTTTCAGTGCTCTCCCTGATCCCCTATGTGGCACCTGGGGTATGTTTCAGCCTTAAGCTGTGTCACTTCCCAACTCCCAAAACACACCCTGAGTCACCATTTTCTCATACCACAAACACACCCACAGTGATAATAACAAGTATCATTGGAGTATCTTCATAAACCCTTACATTCAATAATGTATTGCATTATTATTCTATTTGCATAGCAAGCTGAGGTGCAGAAAGTGACACTACTTACCTGGGGCCCTAGCTAGCAAACTCAGGAGCTGAATCCAGGGCTACCTGGCTTCCCAAGACAGTTCCCACCTCTCCCACTCAATAAGCCCAAACCTCCGCAAGTTACCATGGGGGCTCGGCCTTGAGGGGAAGGATCTTGTTTCTCCCAAAGGGGGCATCTTTCCACAGTGGAACAGAGAGGAATTTAGGCACACCTGGCCTTGCCCTTTATTTCTGTAATATTTGCATGGTAGCTTCAAGTGGTCAAGAGGTCACTCGAGATCTAGAAGCAACGATGTCAAGGACAAAAGGGGCAGTTTCTGAAGTCAGTCACACAGGGTCAGGGACAGATGTACTTGATAGGTCTCTTAAGGTCAAAAGAGCCAAGAAAAAATATGGAAAGGCAAATAACAAACTTGTCTTCTGAATAATATGACCTCTCATTCCCAGCATGAATAAAATAAGACATTTAGAAGCAAGACAAAAACTTCAGTTCGAGCAGTGGCCTTTGTTTATGTCAAGTATCTTGGCACTTCCTCCATTGCTCCTTCAGCTTGGGCTTCTGAGACTGAAGGTCAGAGGTATGGGGCACTTGTCATTGGTGGAGAAGGGGACTTAGAAGCACAGTGCAATCACAGCCAGTGGCAATCCTGGGTCTGTTGGCTTGCAAATTATCTGCATGCTCCCCTGCATCAGTCTGTGCCTTAGTCAAGCTCTGTCCCAAGGCTTCCAATGTAGCATCATCACATCACATAAGATAATAAAGCTCTTTCAGAATTCAGAGTGCACCTTCAATGATCAGGGTTAACATTACTGAGTTGACTCCCTACATATTTTAAGGGGTCTCAGCAAAGATCTTGAATGTGTTATTTCCATCTTAACCTCCTGAACAAGCCATCTACCACAATAAAACTGGGTTAAAGTCCTGGTTTCCTTCAGGGTCTCCACCGCTCAGCAAAAATGCAAGTTTCAAGTAAGTTCATTGGTGGCCCAAGCTCTACAAAGTAGGTAGGCTCTTCTCCAGAAAGTAACTCTTAGCCATCTCCACAGCCTCTGGACCTTAGACCATTTCATGTGATCTTTCATCGACAGCTTCCCCCCAAAAGTGATTAGGGAAATGCAAAACCAAAGTGAAATGAAACAGATCTATTTGCTAAGTAAGAAGGGCACCATCCAGCAAAGAGGAGAAGCAGATTAATAGCTGCCTTACAGCAAAAACAAATGAACACAAAATCTAATTTACAAACCTATTAGATTTGCTATGTAAGCTGTTCACAGCTGATCTGATTGTACCTCTGCCTCCAGAATTCCTGCAAGACAAAGGAAATGCATTATTTATAAACCCAGTTCTTCCTTGCAAAGCCCTCTTCAATCACCAGGAGACCCCACAGCTCACCTGGAGGCCTACAGAGGGAGAACGAGATCTCACTCTGGATTCTCCAGAATGGGCAACATCCTGGTCCCAGCCATAGCCCAGGGGGGTGGGCCTCCCAGTTCCTCCCCTGCTTCCCATTTGAACCCTTAGAATTTGCACCAAAGTTCTCATTTGAGATTCCCATTTGAGCCTGGAAATAAACCCCATTGGAGTTGGTCTCCCTTGGTTAATCACACAGGACAGCAGGATTCAGCATGACTCAGAGTCTGTTTTAACATGACTTAGCCTTTGCTCTTGCACGGTGCAGCCTCTATTCTAGCACTACTAAGCACTCTTCAACACCTGCTTTAACATGACTCTGCATCTGTTTTAGCATGACTCAGCTCCTTCCCACTGTTGCTTTCATTCATACGTGGTAAGATGTCTACCACAAATGCCATAACTTTATTCTCTTTTATTGCTGAGTAATATTCCATTGTGTATATATGCCATATTTTTTTTTTTATCCATTCCTCTACTGAAGGGCATCTAGGTTGGTTCCACAGTTTAGCTAATGTGAATTGTGCTGCTATAAACATTGATGTGGCTGTGTCCCTGTAGTATGCTATTTTTAAGTCCTTTGGGTATAGACCAAGGGGTGGGATAGCTGGGTCAAACGGTGGTACCATTTCCAGTTTTCCAAGGAATCTTCATACTGCTTTCCACATTGGCTGCACCAATTTGCAGTCCCACCAGCAATGTTTGAATATACCTTTTTTTCCCCACATCCTCACCAACACTTATTGTTGTTTGTCTTCATAATAGCTGCCATCCTGACTGGAGTGAGATGACATCTTAGAGTAGTTTTGATTTGCATTTCTCTAATTGCTAGAGATGATGAACATTTTTTCATATATTTGTTGATTGATTGAATATCCTCTTCTGAGAAGTGTCTGTTCAGGTCCTTGGCCCATTTATTGATTGGGTTATTTGTGTTTTTGGTGCTTAGCTTTTTGAGTTCTTTATATAACCTAGAGATTAGTGATCTATCTGATGTGTGAGGAGTAAAAATTTGTTCCCAAGATGTAGGCTTGGTGACTGACTCATAGTGGGGTAGGGAGGGGAAGCATGGGAGGAATAGATGAACTCTAGATAGGGCAGAGGGGTGGGAGGGGAAGAGAGGAGGCAAGGGATTAGCAATGATGGTGCAATGTGATGGACATCATTATCCAAAATACATGTATGAAGACATGAGTTGGTGTGAACATACTTTATATACAAACAGGGATATGAAAAATTGTGCTCTATATGTGTAATAAAATTATAATGCATTCTGCTGTTATGTATTTAGAAATAAAATCAATTAAAAAAAGAAATAAGATTTCTAGAAAGGCTTTCTGATATGCAAGAAGGAATGGTGAGTGAAATATTGAGAAGTGTGTGAGTAAATAAAAATAGTGTTGACTAATGAAAAAAAAAAAAAAAAGATGTCTACCACATTCTCTCCCAACCTGAGACACCAGAACTTCAACAGAGGCAGCAAGATTAACTCAGCAGTTAAAGATTAACTCAATAACCAACTGTGACAACAATTTGCTTTGTGGTAGCTGGATAAATAATGTTAATGGTGTCACCTTGCAAGGGGTTGGGGCAGGAGGAAGGTGGGGAGGGAATCCTTTATTCTTTCCTTTGGTGGAGAAGGTTTTGGAGGAAAAGTGTTCTAAGGCCCTTTCCAGTCCCACCTTCTACTTAACTCTGTCAAATTCCATTGCCTGACACACAGTTTCATCACCACACTTTGCTATCATGCAGGTTCAGGGCAGATGAATGTACGTGTCCCTGGGACCCCACTTTGTGTCCCGCGTATGTTTTAGAAAAGTTGTACGTAAGACTAATTATTTTTAATAATTAAAAAAAAACATTTCCCACCAATTTACAGAGTGTGTGGTTTAGGGAAATACTTTGTAGTTTACTCATTTTTTAAAGGTCTATTTAGCCTTTCAGTCAAGGTATTGATGTGGCCCAAAGAAACAATTACAATCCCTCAGAAGCCATGCATTTGTAGGAACTCTATGATTAAATGAGAATTCTTTGGGGCAAAGTTAAGGTCTAGTTACACTGATTTTTGAGTCTGGATTTTTCTAGCTGTTTTCCTTAGAATTAGGGTACTTATGTATATGTATGTGTGTGTGTGTGTGTGTGTGTGTGTGTGTGTGTGTGTTTACATACGCGTGTATTTTCTGGATATATTGAAATGTCTTTTCAACATTATTTGGCAACAGGCAATATCCTCCCATTTCACAGTCAGATGTCTGGACAACAGGACAGGACTCACCAGTGTCTTATCCTGGTGTCCCTTTAGATTTTAAATTTCATCCCCCCAAATCTAGTTCTCAAAGACACAGTACCATTTTAATTTAACAGCCGCTACGCAGTTGATCTCTCTCCTTTTCCCGTTGGGAGGCAGAGCTCTTGTACTGTCCAGTTGGAGTCTGGGAATGCTCAGCCAGTTCTGGCCCTTGTAACCAGAGTCCACTCAGCTTTGCTGGGTGTGCTGCCCCACAGGTCATCATCCTTTCACACCCAGCCCTGCAACCCCAGCCCTCAAAATCAGCCCTCCTTGTGGAGATAACCTGCTAGGTCAGATATCAAGCTGAGTATAATAATTAAAAGCACAGTAATAGCCCAAGTCTAATGAAAGGTTAACGAGGCAAAAGAGATCACCCAGAAAAGCTGCATTGAAGAATTGATGTGTGATTAAAAAATCATTGTCAAAGAGAATTCTAATTACTGGTTTGGAGTAGCTGGTTAACAATCTGAGGTGAGATGGGAGGAAATCAGTTTGGCCCCCTTCTCTAGACAGCAGAACAAGCTTTAAAGGGATTTAGCCAGTGTTTCCCAAACTTCAGTGATTCCCACTTCCCTGTGGACAGCTTTCCCTATTTATCACCCACACACTGTCAATGACTTAACTTTTAAAAAAGGCTCATCTTTTCTCTCCTTGTTTATTTTCCCGTTCCCCTCACAAGGGGTAGAGAGAGAAGATGGGAGGGGAGGGGAGGGGGGGATAGTAGAGGATAGGAAAGGTAGCAGAATACAACAGTTACTAATAGGGCATTATGTAAAAATGTGGATGTGTAACAGATGTGATTCTGCAATCTGTATTTGGGGTAAAAATGGGAGTTCATAACCAACTTGAATCTAATGTATGAAACATGATATGTCAAGAGTTTTGTAATGTTTTGAACAACCAATAAAAAAATAAATAAATAAATTGATTAAATAAAAGTTTTAAAAAAAAGGCTCATCTTTAAAAATTTGCCCTTATCCTAAACAATTCCATCTGGGAAACACGGGTTTGACATCATGATTACATACTCATTTAAAAAACTCTCAAAAACCATAAATTCAAAAATATTTACCACGGAATTCCTAAAATCATCTACATTATCACAAGGAGTACCAGGAGTACCTGCACACCCTTGGGGGAAGGACTGGATTGAATAGTTAAGTATTTAAAGGAGGCAAACCATAAGAAATTAATAGAAAAAGAAGGGTAATACTTATTGAGTCTCTGATGAAGATTGATGAATGTATGTGAAAGACTTTTCTTTTTTTAATTCAGAAGGATACAAAGAAATAATAGAGAATGGAGACAGATCTGATTTCATAAAAACCTAAAACTGCTTATTCAAAAAGCAAACCTCAATAAGCCCAGCTCAGTGATTCTTCCCAAATCTAGGAGTGCTCCAGGTGAGGCCAACACTGCACCCAACTGAATTTTTTAAAATCATTCATTTTATAAAAGTTTCTTGATGAATACCCATTTGGGATTCTAGCAAAGCTGGACATATACAGGTTTTGCTCTCATGCAGTACAGCTTTAAGAGATGATACAAAGATCCATTCTTCTTGTTTTTGAGTCAGTTCCCCATTTGGCCTCACTAAGGTATAATCGACAAATAGAAATTAAATATACAGTCAACCCTCCAAATCCATGGCTTCAACCAACTTCACATCAAAAAAAATTTTTTTTTTAAAAATTGCTTCTGTACTGAACACGTACAGACTTTTTTCTTGTCATTATTCCCTAAACAATACAACATAACAACTACTAACATAACATTTCCATTAGATTAGGTATTCAAAGTGGAGATGACCTCAAGTATTTCAAAGAATGTGTGTAGGTTATATGCAAATCCTGCACCATTTTATGCAAGGGACTTGAGCATCCCTGGATTTTTGTATCTGCAGGGGGTCCTGCAATCAATCACCCACAGATACTAAGGACTCTGTGCATTTATGATTTACAATGTGATGTTTTGATATATGTATACACGTTGTGAAATGATTAAATTAAACTAATTAACATATCCATCATCTGACTTGTCATTCTTTGATTTTTTTTTTTTTTTTTTTTTGGTGTTGGTGAGAACACCGAAGATCCACCTGATTGCATTTCTCAAGTATACAATACAGTGTTATTCGCTATGGTCGCCACATTGTACACGAGATCTCCAGAACTTATTCGTCCTGAAACTGAAATTTTGTACTCTTGGACCAACATTTCTCCTCCCCTGCCTCAAGCCCCTGACACCCAAGTTGAGAGGGAACCAAATGTCCTGCTAACACCTGGCTCCTCTTTCTCTTTTGGAAAGCTGAAGCCTGCTGACTTGGGCATCGCAAATCCCTATATTTTTTATATCCTGTATTTTCACCAGTGCAGGGGTTTCCAACTTTACCTCTCTCAATATTTGGGTCAGGGTATTTCTTTTTTGGTGGGGTTGGGACTGAGGGTGCTATCTGTGTGCTGTAGGATACTCGGAAGCATCCCGCCTCATCCACTGGGTACCACGGGCAGCCCACAGTGTGACGATGAAAATCACCTCCACACATCACCAGTGTCCCCTGGGGCCGTGGGGAAATGGCCTTCAATTGAGGACCTTTCCTCTGACTTTTGGTTTTCATCTGGTGCCTCTCAGAAGCCAGATCCCCCATTCCACCCTGTTGGCC